GTATGGAACGTCATATTGTGATATATATGTGCTTATTTATCTTCTTAATAATGTGAATGATAAGTATGATAAATGTTATGATGATATGAACTCAGAATCTTATGAGAAGTATTATGTAGAACTTTTATGCTTGTATGATAAGATAGTTAGTGGTCATGAGAAGTTGATAATGCAGGTGATTACGATGTAAATCATAGCGTATGAGATAAGGGTAAGTGGTTTGTATGTTGATCTAACTGCACCATGTAGCAGTGGTACATGGATGGTCCTGCTTGGTATATCCGCGTTGGGAGACCATATGCATTCTAGAAGTGAGGAGGATTATACTTGGTACATTCCGATTGGCAATTATATTTTGGGCTGGATTCCGTTGAGTGGTCCGAAATCCCTACTCTTGCTCATTTCCATAAGGTTAGTTCGACCCTAGATTCGAGTGAGTAGGAAATTGCTCACAATAGACATTGTGTTTATAAATTGGATTTACCTTGTATTACTTGGAATCCATGCAAGGAATTATGTTGAAATCCTTTATTAAATTTTGTGAATTGATATGTGATCTTGATGATTGATTAACATAGTTAAATGTTAATATTGTGCATCTGTGATTCATGGGATGGATTAATTGGAGTGGTTGTGGAACAACATTGGATATGATTGTTATTATTATGATAGACTCGTTGATTTATGTGACTATAGAATAACATTGTGCTTCATTGACTGTTCTTCGAGATGTAGCATACTATGAATTGCGGTATTATGTGAATCATAGTGATTTATATGATGGATGAATTGGAAAGCATATGCGTGGGATTGGCATACCTGCGTGCATGAAAAGGTGATAATTATTGTTCGGTGTATGTGTGAGAACCCATATTTTATATTGGTGAAAGCCCTATGTTTAAGTTATTATTTATTTTATTAGACTTGAAGTTAAGTTTTGGAATATTTTTCTTAGTTAAGCCCTAGAACCATGCTTATGCTTAGTCATAAGTTTATAAGGTGGACGTGTGAAGCTTACCATGCGGCCTTATCTCCTATCCTTTTTAAGGTGCTTGTGAGCACCATGCTGGGTTGGACGTGTAGCTCCACAATTCAAGTCTTGCATCCAGTTGACACATCTTATTGCCACCATTTAATCATTAGCTTAATCACCTAGTTAGGTGTCATCTCCTCATGTTATGATTCCATGCCAATTGACACGTGCCTTTATGAGTCACAAAGTTTTGGAGCCGTTCGGTACTATAAATAGGGACTTCATATATTTTATTGTATATATTCCTTGGACCTCAAGTCTTGGAGCCGTTCTATTTCACTATAAATAGGAGCTTTGCTCCATTGTTTTTGGAGCATAAAAAGAAGGAAACATGTAGAGCATGCATTAAGTGTGTGTGTATATATATATATGTGTGTGTGTGTGTGTGTGTTGTGCGTATATATTCATATATACGTTAGAGTGAGAGCTTAGAAAGAAAAGAAAAAGGGAAAGCTAGTTTGAGGTGTGCGGAGATGTTAGTTGGGTTGTTTTGCCAAATCTTGGATTTTCGAGATGAGTGGTTTATGTAATGTGTTTCAAAATATTCTTATTTTCTGATAAATGAAAACCATGAACTATCATGAGTTTTATCTATTTATAATCTCTATCTATTTTAAGTCAAGCATGTTGGATTTGTTGAAATACCTTTGGAATCATTAATATGGTAATATGTGGATTGTTTGGATATGTTCATGGAGCATGAGAACTTTAGTGTTGCCTTAATCCGAGGGATAAATGTAAACTGCACATGAGGACATTAGGGCGGAAAGGCCAGTAGGGATCACGTGGTGAGTTACAATTTATGAAGGATGTAATGAACACGTAAAGGGATGATGTGATATGAAATTACGTGGTTAAAGCTTTGATATTATTATCCTATTTTCTAGTGTGTGTGTGTAAAAAGGCATTGCTTGACTGACATATTACTTATTCTACTCACTGAGCGACTGTGGTTGTTGCTCACCCCTCACTTATTATTTTACAGATGTCATTTGGCAAGACATGTGTTAGAAGAGCTGAGGTTGTGATTGAGAAGTTTAAGGATTTTAATTTATTATATTTTTGTACATCTTGTAAGGATTTTGGAGTTATTTTAATAAGAGGAGTTTATTTTTCCAACCCGTGTCAATTTTCTTTTATTTATTTATTTTACTTTTACTCGCGCAACGGGTGCGGGGTTATTTTTTTCACTGACCCCAAGTCTGGGGCGTGACAGTGTGGCTGATGTGTCGTGGTACTTTATGATTTCTGCTAGAAGTATTTTACAAAAAGATTAGAGTTTGACGAATGGTGAACTACGAATGGCTTGATCCCTATTGAGGGTACGTAGGCAGTCTAACGAGGAGGTTAGATGCAGCCATAAAGTATACGAAAAATTATTATGCGATTCGATTCTTGAGTTATGCTTCGTACTTATCCCGGGGGCGGGATCTGTTGAGTATATGGTTACTTGGTGACGTCAGTGGCAATCCTGGATGTAGATCGAGATCGGGGCGTGACAATAAAATAAATAGTAAAAACAAAATCATTTGAAACGATAATTGGTAGAAGTGGAAAGATCATGACATAAGCAGAAGCTACACACATAAAGGAGCTTTGGACTACCCCAATATGCATCATAATTTGTGAAAAATCTCCATCAAATTGAAGAAACCATCAGTTAAGGGAGGGGTTCATTTGACAAAAATGCCCTTAATTTTAACCAAGTTTTTTCACATAATGATAAAAATAATTGACGGTGGACAATCTCAAAGACCACTTTTGTCGATTTTAAATCTCATGAACCAAAGTGAAGAGTTATGACAATCAGACTATTTTAAATAAAAAGGCTTAATAAAATATGAATGTTACTTTCTTTCATTTGTATTTGTTATTGGACTTTAGCCAAACGACCATTCTTTCCGGCAACTTCAAAGCTCCCCCATTGAAGATGCATCCCATTTTTCTAGTGAGAACCAATGAAGGGGGTCGTTGACCTGCAGTCTTGAGTTTGTTAAGGGGCTACACGAGACTCACATTACGCTGTCGATCTTGTGCTTGTTGATGGCTTCTTCTTCTTCATCTGTTCCTGATTGGAAATATGATGTCTTCTTGAATTTTTGAGGCGAAGACACTAGCAGGACCTTCATCGGCCATCTCTACAAAGCTCTAGTTCAGAATTCAATCAACACCTTCGTTGATGCTGAAATTTTGACTGTTCCTGAGGAGTCAAGCTATGTGGAAGAGATGAGGCAGCGACATTTGGAAGAGATGAGGCAGCAGGAAGAGATGAGGCAGCGACATTTGGAAGAGATGAGGCAGCGGAAAGAGATGAGGCAGCGAGGTCGACGTTTGGAAGAGACGAGGCAGCGACATTTGGAAGCAATGAGCCTACGTCGACGTATGGAAGCGATGAGGCAGCGACGTTTTTAGTTCCTTGAGTTAGGGCGTCTCCAATGGGGCTTTATCATCCATGAGGTTACCATGTTTCAAGCCTTAGCAAGAAATTTCATCCCCAATGAGCTGAAAAATGGAGCTAGATCTGTCATTGGGGTTAGCAAGTTCCTTTCTTGGGTAGCATAAATAGTGGATCCCACAAAAAAAGTAGCAACTCATGTAAGCTAAATTCTATCACTTTCCCTCCACTTGCGAATACAGTTATACTCTCCTTTAATTATTTTTTTAATTATTTTTCTTTCTTATGTTTCTTGCAATTTGGCTAATTAATGATTGTTTTAAATTTCATAAGGATTAAATTTTCAAATTGATTTAATGTTTATGGGCATTGATGGGTGAAATTTTCAAATAATTTTTTTTTCTAAATTGTATGATACTAATTTACCAATTGGTGCTAGGTAAATTGTTATGTTATACGTGAAAATCAAATTATTTTAGATGGCAAAATGGGGATTTGTTTCTTTCAACGGATGAGTTTAAGATAAGAGAATCTAATCCAACGAACGATTCATAAGTGATGAAATTTAACTTTGTCACAATTTGAACTTTTTAGATTGAAGGGTTCATAAAAAATAAAAAATTTAAGATAACATGTCCAAAAATCAACTTAAGAAAAGCTAACACACAAAAAAAAATCATCGCTTAATTAAATTACTACATAAATAAATAAATATAGCCCCATATAGAGCCCGAAAGATATAGCCCCTCATTGGGAGAGATTCTTTTATAAAGCCTCCAAGATTCCTCGGAGCTTTAAAATGGGCTCTATCCACCACTTTTACAGCTCTATATAGAGCCCCTCACTGGGGATGCTCTTAGAGAGCACGCGAGAGGGAACTAGTATACATCAAGACAGCAATCATGGATCTGAAAACCGCAATTTTTTTCAGAACTTCGGGATATATTTGGATCAGTGTCTGAGCTCTTCTATTTAGATTTTTGTTTTTCGCGTAGTTCTTGGTTCACCTGCGGTTGGTACGTGGTCAGTATTTACTTATCCGTATGTATTGTAAAGATGTTTTTTCTTTCTCTTCGATCAAGTATGTATTTTTAGTGATTAAGCCTTGAAGCTGATTTCTTAAGAGTTCAAGTTCTGTACTTAGTCTTGTTCTTATTTGTTTGAATTGGAAATGGAAGGCTGAGATTAAACTAGGTCATAAGCTAGGATTGTGCCAGCTGTCATAGTAGCTGACTTTGTCTTAGATATATTCGTGCAAGACACGTGAGTATGAGAAGCATGTGATGCATGTGAAGTTTGTGACAGTTTCTTCTTGTATTCTCTCAGAGCTTGCGTCCTCTTGTTCCGGTTCATGGGGCCCAAAAAAAAGTTGTGATGGTCAGCTCCTTGATGTTTCTAGTAAATTTTAGGGATGATGTTGATTAATTTTCAACTTCAAAGACTAAATTAACGAACGTCACTTTCAATGACCAATTGTGATAAAAATTCTTACTATCTCATACATACATTTTCCGTATCATTTACTACGAAGTATTGAAGCAAAATTGCAAAAGATTGCTTAAAAAAAAATAATAGACCAATAGAAGGGCCCATTGATGATGACCCTCCTAACAATTTTTTTTTTTCACTCAAGAATTTCAAAACAAAAATCAACTTAATTTATTATCCAAATTTGCTGCATGTAAATTGTAATCGTTAAAATGGCTCGACAATGAATGCTTATAATTTGTTTGTTAACCAGAATGTGTGGCAGTCATAATCTAATCAACTCAAAGCTTTTCCCTTCCTTCTGCCATAAACTGTGTCAGTCAACAAATCCAGTTGCTGTACGAATCTACCATTAGTAAAAGCTTCCTGAAATTTTTAGAGGAAAAAGGCAATGCGTAAGCTGAAACCTACGCGATTAGGAAAAGCCGAGAACCCAATAATCCTACACCCAAAACTATACCTCTAAACTATAAAGCTAAGAATCAGAGCAACCAGGACGATAAGTATGCATGGCCTTGCAACAACACCAGCTGAGGTCGACCTGCAGGCATCACGAAGCTGTAATCAGTATCGATACAAGTAACCAAGTTCTTCGTTTTATATTACACCACAACATATGAATGCTTTAAAACAATATGTAGTAATGATAGATTGAAACTTAGAAGCCACCACCGGTCCCAACTCCCTTGTAAATTTCATTTCTTTCTCTTTCCCATCAAGTTTTATTATATGAACAAGCGTCCAGTAAAACGGGATACCTGCTACAAAGCTGGTCCTATATAGAGATATACATGTATGAAGAGTTACCTTGTTACAAGCTCCTTTACTGACTCAGTTTCCAGTCCAAACCCAAACGGGAAAAGTGGATCATAGTGTGAATCACCAACATTCATTGGGAGTTGATCGACAGTTCTGAACCATGTTCTTGGAAGCTTTCCACTGAATCCACGATCCCCAAAAAGGACATCAGTAATGCCTTGGCCTTCAGAGCCTGGCAACCATGCTGCCACCAGAGCATCAATCGAGGAAATATATGGTTCAATTACAATAGGTCTGCCAGTTATTAAGACAACAATGCACTTGACACTTTCACACACATTGCTGATGACACTTGGGCCAGGTTCCGCCATCATTAGGTTTGGGCTGTCTCCCGCAGTCTCAGCATAAGGATGCTCGCCAACCACAACAATGGCATATGAAAAGTTGTTGGACTTCACAAAATTACCATCAGGATTCTCACTGTAGATAACTTCTGTGCTTGAGTCGACTGCTGATTTTATAGCACCAAGGATCGTAGTCCCTAATCATGAAAAGGAAGTTTTATGAAAAATACAACCAATATTAGATACATTTATGTACGAACATCCTTTATGCACGGCTAAATATTTCCATACATTCTAATAACTGTGAAGACGATTTTCTTGTTACACCAAGGATCGTAATCTTCTTATTAAGTGCTTAACGTTCTATTTTGTGAATATTCAATTCTATCATTTTATTGTAGAGCAAAAAAGTAGTGCATATAGACAGAATAGTATGTATTTAATATAGCAATGATGGCAGACTATACCGGATGTATATTTGTTGCCACTGAATCCTTGCCATGCAATTGTCCATCCACCACATTGGTAGCCCAGATTATCAGCATGACTGCCGGCAACTAGAATTTTAGACACCTTCTTGGGAAGAGGTATGACTGGATCTGTAATGTTCCCGTTTTTCCCATTCTTCAAAAGCACGACGGATTTTCTGACAGCCTCCCTTGCCAAATCTCTATGATCCTGGTAATGTTAAATTAAAATACAAAAATGATTGATTCATGTCAGTAAATCAATAAATACAAAACTTACTAAGTAGTCTTTTGGCCATTGAATGTAACACCAATTTCAAGGGAATGTCCATTCTAATTTTATCGAACTATATACATTATTCAAATGACCAATAGGAGGGTTGCAAATCCTGATATTTGATTATCTCGGATAGACTGACCTGGCTTCCAAGCTCATTGACTAGGCTGAAATCAGCCAACGGGTTCTCAAAAAGACCCATGGTGAACTTGACAAGCAGAATCCTTCCCGCAGCATCATCAATACGATCCATTGGGACAACGTTATTCTTGACCAGGTTAATGAGATCATTAATGAATTCTTTATAGTTGATAGGGACCATGACCTTCAAAACACAAGAGAACCATCTTCAGAGTTTTATAATTTTGAACCAGAAAAAAAAGAGAGTTTTATATAGTGTAGAAAAGACGCTATTATCTTCTTTCATTTCTGCAAGAGGTTTTTATATAAAATAAGCCACGAACCATGTCAATTCCAGCTAGAACTGAATCTTGGACAGAGTATGTGTAGTTTGAATGTGGCGGTGAGGTAATCCTGTCAATACCCTCCCAGTCTGATATAACAAAACCCTGAATGTTCGACCAAAAACACCATGTGCTGTTAGCATGAAACAGTGCAGAACACAGGTAAAAGGTACAATAGTCACCAAAATGAAGCACCTATTGTGAGACCGAAAACAACCAGAACTTGAGATCAGTAATATTACTGAGTTATCAACTTATCACAAGTACCTTAATTTCATATTGAATCTGAAATTTCAACTCATTAACACAGATGAAGCTTAAAGACGCTAAAAAGTGGGAACTGATGCAAATCAGGATAAATCATATAACTGATGCAGTACTGATGAATGCTAGGCACTTCAATTGTATCAAGGGAAATGCGCAAGAACTGCATCAGAAGTTTGTTTGAATGGATTATGATGGCTACAAAGACAATGATCTGTAATGGCAACATTATGGGCAGTCAATAAACCACAACACAACAACGAAGCCTTATCCCACTAAGTGGGATTGGCTGTATGAAATGAAGATGACGTTAGAGGAGAAATACGAGAAAGTATGTAAATGCAGCGAACCCATCTATAGACACTAAAAGTGGAAACATGGGAAAGTGAAGAATCATGCTAATCACTAAGCAATGTCCAAGAAAACCTGACCACATTAATGTGTAATGTGGAAGTAATTTGGATTTGATTAGATAATATTGGAGGTATTAAAACCCAACATGTGGGAAATACACAATGTTGAGAAAGGCAATGAAAACAGATAAGGCTGGCAGCATTTGAAGAATAAGGAGAGATTGAGGGAAAGAACAGTTATAAAGCAGTCAACTAGTCACGATTAAGAGCATATATCTTGAAAATCTGTAATTTAAGCTATGGGATGTCAAGGAAGAGAACCACACAAATAAAAGTACTGATAATTGCAATATGCAAACGTTTTGGTGCCAGAAATCTTTCTTTGAATTCATGGTAAGATTTTAACACTGGGCATGCTAGTTTCGTGCTTACATCAAATCTCGGTACATAGATGAGACATGATTCCACTTTATATCTTTCTGTGCATGTGATTGTTGATAACTCCAGAAAACTGCAACAGCTTGCATTTTAAATAAAAGTGAATAAAATGGTACCTTAAATTGAAGGGTGCCCTTGAGGTAGTCCGTAATTAGATCACGGTTTGCATGCATCTTTTTCCCATTCCAACTGGAGTAGGAAATCATCACGGTTGAGACACCCTTGATGATGGAGTCAGAATAGGCTGGCATGTGGATGCTAAGCAATTCCTGTTGGTCAACCACAGTGTTGTACTCATTAATGCCCTTGCTTGTGCCACCATGACCAACGAAGTGCTTTGCACAAGCTGCAACCTTTTTACAAAAATATAATAAATAAAGATATATCAGGAATCACTGAAAGCTTGAGTATTTTAACAGAAGTAAAGGAAATAAAAGATAAAAAGAACCACTAAATTCATTTGATTTATTAATTGAATCCATAACTAGAGAAACACTACGCATGTTATCCAAATTATATTTCAGCGAAATTATATTTGTTAAAGTCACAAAATCAAGTAAATTAAGATCATGAACAATAGTTGCAATACTAAGGATTGTATCTTTTAAATCAAAAGAAGGAAAAATGAAAATGGAATGAACAGAGAAAAATAAAAAAGAAAAGATAGAAGTATGCTTATTTTCATAAAATTCGTACTTTCCCCCAACATATGGCACTCCTTTCTGAGAATTTGCAGGGATATCTCCCTGTAAACCTGGAATAATCTCCGTCATTTCTTGCACAATTGTGTGATCTTCGCTGTAACTTTCGTAACACCGGCCCCATCTTGGATCTCTGCATACCTATATAGGATGTTCCAGGCAATGCACAGAAGTCATCAGATGGAAAAAATATGAATGCACTCAAAGGACATTGTTATCCATGTAAAAGAAGAAAATGCTGATCGCATAATCCTTTTGCAATGTATTATTTACCGCAATGCAAGGAGCAAATACATAAGGAATCCCCGTAGCTCGGGCTTCAAGAGCAGTTGCAGAACCAATTCTTCGTACCAGTTCAGGGTCCCTGTGTACTGGAAATATTTAATAGAAGGAAGACACATTCAATGAACTATAAAACGGAAAACATCTAAAAGGATTAATGCATGGTTAGTTTTTTTAATACTTGCTGAAGTATAATACAGATTTACTTGTAAGGATATGACCCTAATGGGACCTTGTTGTAGTTATACAGTTACAGAGTGCTGCTTTTAAATGACAGTGATAGATCTCATCCCTTGTGTAAAAATAGAGCAATGCCTTGTCATGTTTTGAAATGAAGCAAATAGAATCTGAAACTTTTACTTGCCTGGTAGCTCCAAGCCCAACATTATGCGGAAATATTGTAGCATTGTAGACATTATTGTGTCCATGAACAGCATCAATGCCATAGATCATAGGAATGCCCAAACGACTAGATAGAGCTCCCTTCTGAAATCCATTAATCATGTTAACCCAGTCTTCAGCACTAGCTTCTGGAAGTGGTGTACTGCCACCACCGCTCAATACACTACCTGCACAAATCAGAACACATCCTCACTCCATTGTCATATCATCTGTGTGTTCAATATTTTTCTCTTTACCGAAAGTCTTACTCCCTCCAAGGCGAAAAAGAATGGGGGAAAAGGAGAACGATCTGAAGGCTTGTTAATTGAATAAAGAAGAACCAATCTCATAACAGGATATGTTCTTGCTGCCTCCAGAGTCAAAGTGATACTTCCTGTTTAGTTTCTACAAAGATAGAAATGCAACAAAAAGAAGTAATGCATGGTTTTCGGTGACACCAAGGCAGGATTCTAGGCATATGTTTAGGGAAAATTGCACAGTAAGTACAAAATCCTAGTATTGACATCTCAAACACCCTATGCACAGACATTATCACTGCAGAATAACCCCAATTGCAGGGTTTTTTTTACCAACCGCACCCATTCGTTTTGCTACTTCAACCATTTTATCCGTATATATAAATTAAATCACTAGAGAACGCCCCAACTCGTGCGTAAACTCCTTTCTTAATAAGATAAAATCAACAAGAAAGATATACAAGAATTGTGTTGTGCCATCATAAAAAGTCAATTAACGGCCTGATTTGAAGATATAACAGGAATGAAATGCGGACAGTATGAGACAGACACTAGAAATCAAACAATTTATGTTGGTGTACATCAAACACAGTTGAAGGTTGTCTTGAAATATATACATTACATACCTATGAAGTAAGTTTTCATAGTATCAATAGAGGCAACACTCCTATCAATCTGCACCATCTGACCAATCTTCTCTTCAAGAGTCATCCTGCTAAGAAGGTCCCCAACTCGAGCAGCCGCTGGTTGGGTTGGATCTTTGTACATGATGTAATCAGCCTTGACCGTAGCCAAACCCATCCACCACCAAACCAAAAACAAACCCACGACTGGTACCGAAACCCAAGCCATTGTAAATGGGTCCTTTTTCACTCTGGTAAACCAAACACGAAAAACCAGAATTACACAATATCCATCATTTGTTCTAACCATCTGTTTGGTGGCTGAGAAAATGCAAGAAACAGAAAAAAGTATACACAGAGTTTTTGTTCAAAGTCATTGTCTTGGTTGCATAGGAAGATTATATTTTGAAAACCCATTAAATTATATATATTTTGTATAACAATAAGCCGAATGGCCCCCCAAAGCAATTATTTTCCAAATTTAAAATCCAAGTTGCAGATTTGCAATAGCGTATTATATATTCCCTTCTAGGAGATCATGTGAAACACTATCTAATCATGTGAACCAGCAAGATACAGCACCCACATAAATCCAATTACGTTCAACACAAAATAATAAAAAAATAAATAAAAAATCACCATCCTTAAAGTTTCATAATATTCTCAGAAGCTAAAGCAGAAAAATAATAATCCAGCATCAAAAATTAATTATATATAGTCAACGAAGAAGAAGAAGAGCAGCATTGTGATGGGGAGAGAGAGAGAGAGAGAGAGAGAGAGAGAGATGTTACAGTTGAGTAGTGTTAATGCGACTGAGTCCAAGCTTGGATGAATGAATGAATGAAATGAAGCTGAAAATGCAATGATTTCTTGTACCTTTTTTATTGGCAGGAAGCAAGTAGCAAGTAGAAACTAGAAGAAAAGGAGGAAGAATAAGGAGATTAGGTTATAAATTATGCTTATTAATTACTAATTAGAATATAATTATCGGGAAAGAAAGAGGAAGGAAGGAAGAGTCTTGACTCTTTTGGAATTGAAAATGTGTTCTTTTATTTATTAATATAAAGGAAAGATAAGAAGGTGGCTTTTGATTTGGTTGGTTCGTGCAGTTGTCACTTTGCCTTTGCGATGGGAACGTATAGAGAATCTCCTTAACGTGCCTTTTCGTAAATCACTCATGCAAACCAACCAGACTTACTCACCCTTAAATCCGTCAATCTGAGTTTGACACATTTAACGTTATTACCATGCTAGTTTGAGTTTAGCATATTGATATCATATTCATGAATTGTATATATTTTTAACTCACGAATTCAATATATTGGTATCATACTCAAATTCGACACACTTAATATTCAAATTTTTCGACACACTGTACAAGTATGATTCGTATAAGAGTCCAATATATTAATATCACGCTCATTTTTTTCGGCCTGCTATTAGCACATGAATATGCTAATCCTTAGCCTAAAAATATTCTCCATTGGAAGTTTGGAACAAACACAAATGAAAGAAATCAAGGATGATAAAACCCTAATTGGTGGGAAAGGGAAGGGAAAGGGCAACCAACCAACTTTAGTGGCACGAGACGTTATACCTCATACAACACCATAGGAAAACTAACTCCTCAATCCCCCATTTATAAATAAAATTGTCACGCAGGCCAACCAACATTTTCTACAGGAAACCCAAAAGCAGAGAGAGAGAGAGAGAGATGGTTATGCGACGTGGTCCAATTGGTGGAAGCTCTGGTTCTAATACCCGACCAAGACAAACAAATCGTCCCACTTATGAAGATTTCCAGCCCCGCTTTGAATTGAAGGAAGAGCAGGAAGCTCACAGCGTACTTGTTCATCTACCTGGTCTCTTCCTCTTCTTTCTACCTTTCTTCTTTACCCAACTCTACTTCATTTTGCACTCTCAATGGAAGCGAGCAAAAGCACTTCTATTAAAAGCACATCACAACTTTTACTAAAATTGCAAGTGCTTGTTTGGATCCATAAACACTTTTTTACTTTTCTGCCAAACATAATCATAAACGCTTTTGGTGATTTAAAAACATTTTAGTTATTTTAAAAAGCATTTTCAAACAAACCCGAACTCCTTGCGTTAAAATTAGTTAATGTTCTAAATTACGCTGCAATTATATCAAAAATCTACAGAGAGCGAGAGATGTTATCTCCTCCCTAGACAACTGAACCGACCTAACTCACGCGTCGCAAAATATATGGTTTGTTTTCAGGGTTTGTGAAGGAGCAGGTGAGGATTACTATTGAGCATAACCCTAATGTGATTAGGGTTCATGGACAAAGACCTCTGGGCAACAACAAATATAGCCGTTTCAACCAAACATTTCCGATTCATGAAAATTGCGACGTAAGTAAAATTGATGGCAAATTTAACGATGGGATTCTTACCATCACAATACCAAAGCCAGTCATCACACAGACAGCAGCAACCAAACCAGTCCAAGAGCCACCACCGAAAACTGCTGCAACCGCTCCCAAGCCGATGCCACAGAAAGTTAAAGAGGACCCAATTCCTTCAAAGCCGAGTTTGACAACACCGGCCGCTGCCGCGTCAAAGGCAGAAAAGGCTACTTTCACTGCCAGAGATGAAAAAGAAAAGGATGACAAGAATGGTGGTCGTCCATTAGGCCCTCCGAAAGGCACTGCAGCCGAGACAAAAGCACAGAAGGATAAGGAGGACGCGGTTCTTCCAAAACCAGTTTCATCAACCCAGAGTGACAAACAAAGGGATGAGAAGAGGCTGTTACTTTTGACTAGTCCGGAAACAGGCATCGGCATGCCCAAGTCTCAAGAGCATGGTCATGATGGGAAGAGGGGAAAGGCTTCTGGGGTTGAAAACAAGGATCAGAGAGAAGCAAATGGGAAGCCTGATGCAGAACCGAAGAATGATGAGAAACTTGTCAAAATTACTCTACGTAAGGAAACGGAGACCGGTGAGAGAAGCAAAGAAGCAAGGGGTCTCGGTAAGCCTAAAGAGGACTCCGTGGCTGCAAATGCGATGGCTGGTGCAAAGCAGCATATGAAAAACCTCGGGAACGGGATGAGCGATGAAGAGAAGAAGATGTTGATCAATATGGGCGCGGCAGTTCTAGTTCTTCTGGCACTAGGGGCTTCTGCATCCTACAATATCTGGTCCTCTGCAACAGGCAAAAACTAAGCCCAGTATCTTTTCACGTTCCATTACAAATCTGTTAATACAAACTACACAAACACATGCACAAGTATTACAGCTTTTACATCAATTTGTATAGGAATTAACTTCGACGCGTAAATATACCTTACAAACCGGTGTAATATATATATATATCCATCCTTGGAACATGAAAGCAAGACATTGTCGCTGATGATAACTTATAGTAAGCTACAAATGACCAGTTCAGTCCGGGTATATCATCTCGGAAGCAATCCATACCAAACAAACCATCAAGTTGTCGATCTCCATAGGACCCCAAAATTAGTACCACTGAAAATCAAAGAAATCTTGAAATTCTTGAAATATGCCATCAAGGAAATCTTGAAATTCTACACTAGAAACTTAAGAGTTCATCGATCAGTTAAAATTTAATGACAGACCTGATGGGAAACAAAACATATATACAAAGACTTGATTCAGATATTTCAAATTAACCGACGAACTTTAATTTGTCATCAGTTGTAAACAAAAATCTACGCAAGCATGATAGAGACGGTTATAATTACACGGACCTAACTGAAAAGGCATCCAAAGATGGGGATCAAATTGGTCATTTTGACTAAACTAAGATTATAAACTGCTTTGTCCAACATTACACATGATTTAATCATACAACATACCTAAAAATCATCCACAGCTCCCCTCATCCTCCTAAATTTCTGTAAGTGTCAACATAGCTCAAAACCTCAATCAAGTAATCCAATTCCAAATAGGATTTTGTCCACGGGGTGCTATGCGGGTGAAGATACAGGCATTTATGACATCTCTGGAAAAACAGTGATCATAAGCTTCGGGTAAATTAATCGCAGTGCCATTGATACATGTAATACTTCTTCGGTTGTTAGTCACTGCAAATATTTTATCATTGCCATAGGCACCCAAGTGTCAAGATGCAAGAGAATGGTCATCCCTAGCAGCATCAACCGTTGTCATCTCTGCTGTATTTGAAACTGCGGAACATTAAAAAAAGTGAGACATCAATAGAGCAAAGGTTTCTTTAGGGAGGATAAATAAATAGTAAGTGCCACCTGTACAGGAATATATCCCACAACAAGGCCGTCATTTATCTCTAATAGGAAAACCTCCCCAAAGCTTTTCACATGTTTCGTTCTTCCTATATGTTGCCACAATTCACTCAGCATTTTACTTCAACTATTTTGAAATTATTTTAAGAAACAAACAATTCAGAACAATCTTATAGAACCTCAAAGGCTTTATAGTCGCGAGCGTACAAATGAACACTTTAAACAAAGACATAACCAATTACCATTCAGAAAACTCACAAGACAATTAAAAAAGATAATAGATCCATACAGCAAGCAAGGGAATAAATTTCATACTTCTTGAAAGACAGAAAAAGTGAGAAGTGGAGCAACACTGCTGTGAATGTTAAAAGTGATACATCACATGAGAAGCAAAATCCTAATTGACTACGCATTTATGTTTAAGTTACAATGTTCTACTAGAAGATTTCAAGGGTTTCATAACCTTCTAAGCCTGAAACTCCAACCCCTTCTCGGAAGGTTTCCGTTTTCTTTTCAAGCGTGTTGCTCCAGCATCCTCTGCAATAGACATATAAGTTTCGATATGAGCCAATTGATTTAAAGCCGACAAAACAGGTGCGAGAAAAATGTCATTTACAATCTGAGTACAAGGTCAATGTCTTATGAAATCATCACTATATCAGTCTATGTTGGGTGCCCGAATAAGATTAGTAATCATGGGTTTCAAACTCAAGATCAAAATTTTGAGCTCATCCTTTAGGTATAATATAAAAGCAAGAAAACCAAACCTCACAGATTACGCTTACTAGTGAAGCTGTTAATATGATATTATACAAAGGAAAAGGCGTAATGTTTTGTTATTACACCCCATTGGTGTGTTGTGCGCCAAAGGACAGAAAATAATGACCATCTATGATTTGAAGATGAGGTCTTAATGTTTGTTATGGCATTGGCATATTAATTTTATGCCTGATGAACTGCTCTTTTTAAATTTTCAAAAAACACATTTTCTCTTTTTTCTATCAAAATAGAAAATGAGAATGAGAGTTCTGGGCTATTCCTTGTGAAATTGAAATTTAAGTCATAAAACCCATTCAAAGGCACACAAATACGCATCAAAGTCGTAATCTTACCTTCAAGTGGACTTGACGCATGATTAATTGCACGTCCATTTGGTGTGCCCTCTTCTGAAATAGGGGAGCCAGAATTACTATCCACCAGCTTTGATGAACTTTCTATGCACTTATCTTGCGGGTCCAGAACATCAGGAGAAGGAATTGCAGGTAAAAAGCATAGCTCTTCCTGTGACATATCTGAATCACTGAAAGCTGAGTCCTTCTCCACTGTCACAATATCAACTTCATCATCTTCATTAATATCAGAGTCTTTTACCTGCATAAATAACTTTTTAATTTAGACACCAGAAAATGGACAAAAAAATAGCCCAGATTTCATTCTCTTCCTACCTTTTCAGCTTCAGGTATTAGATCAAACTCATCTTCTCGTTCTATGTATTCTTCGTTTTCCTCAAGCTCTTTGAAATCAGGAGCAAATGCACTCCAGTTCTCAGTGTAATCTTTAGCCCAGATATAAACCAAACCAGTCAGTGAAACAGAGACAACAATGGGGTGAACAGGATGCCACACCAAATCAATCAAGGCTTCCTTTGGCCCTTCAAGAATTTTCACAAGATGTCCGGCCCTATCCCATATGTAAATCTTGTGTTCTCCTTTGCTTGCAGAACCACCAATCACCCACTCACCATCACCACTGAAACAAGGTGCTTTCCAGTGCATCTTTGTGATGGCATCTTGAAATTCACGGAAAAGTGTTAAGCATTTTGATCCAACAGCTTTCAACTTCTCAACACCATCAATTCCATCAAGGGTCTCGTTTATGTCATCCAGGGTTTTAAGTCCATCTTTCAAGGGCAGAAGGTTCTCGTAGATCCTGATTGTTCTATCATTTGAATTTGTAAGCAAATACTGTCCATTCCTGCTGAATACTATGTTCTTAATCACAGAAACTCCAGAAGTGGGAACCATGGCACGCACTTGAATACTTTTATAATCTATTACAAGTATTTCACCTTTGGAGTTCCCCGCATAAACCAGATCACCATACTTATTAAAGCAAGCAGCGGTAGGAGAGAAAGGTGGACTTCCCTCAGAGATTTTGTTCCGTGGCGGAGGGACAAGTCCTGGGTTAGAGTCAGGAATGGAAACTGGAAGAACAACTGTGCTTCCAGTATTCAAGTCAACAATGATGGGAGCAGATGAGAGGGGGCATGCCAGGCAGAGAGATGGAAAAGACGAACCAGGATGAAGCCGAGCTTGTAAAGGGGTTTGTTGCAGTATCGTTCGCGTTATCTTCTCACCACTGACAACATCCCATAGTGTCAATGACTTGTCCGCAGCAGACACAAGAATGCGATGCCCATACTTTGACCAACATACACTAGTTATCGCAGCAACACAATCTCTGTCACGAAGCTCCTTGGCAATTCCCCTGGTCTCAAAATCCCATACGATGCAATTTCCGTCAGAACACCCAGCTGATCAAGAATATCAAACAAGTATCGCTCGTAAGAAGAAGACTCTTCAGAATATCTCCAGTAACATAAGGACACATCAAATGTCAATGATAGTACAAATGAATGCAAAAAACAAATTTCACCTAAACAATCAATAAGACATGATTATCGTTACAGCTTGCTATAAACAACCTCACCTAATTCTTCGCAGATGCAACTCGACGATCAGCACATTGGTAAAAACATTTTACTACCATATAAGTGAACAAGGAGCCCAATTCTAGAAAAGCAAAAACGTAAAATCCGCAGCAACACCTCTGTCATAGGGCAAAGCATGAAGACAATAACAGAATACCGACAAAGTATAAAACAGAAGCTCTCCAATCTGACAAAACAACATAAAACGATACCTCCCAAAATGTTGCAATGCCAACACTGTCCGGTTAGCTCTTTATGTCATAAATTTAAGGCAATTTTCAACTTTCAGAAAATATAAACTCGGACAAGGCAATTAAGAAATGCTACGTTGAGCATAACTACGCGCCTTGAGCTTAGTGGCAACATTCATTGTTGAAACAGGTGTGCACTGAAAGTAAGTCATGCCATATGCTTGAACTTTAAATCTGATAACTAGCCAGTCTACAATGTTAAAAATTGTATATCAAAAGGACAACTTAATGTGCACCAAATTTACAACTTTCCTTTTGATTTTCCTTTTTTTTTCTTTTTTTCTTTTTTTTGTAAATTTATTCAGAAAAAAAAAAGTAATGGGGCGGAGAAGGGTGGAAAAATTACCAGCAAGAAGGGTGCCGCGGCGATTGAAGGCGATGCATTTCATAACGCCATACTCCAAATACTCCTCTATCACTTCCGGGAAATCCCCTTGCAATGGGTCTTCGCACAATTAAGTAATTAATTAATTAATTGATTAATCATACATCTAAATTTTGGATTTTGGATTTTGTTGCCAAAAACCATCAAACTCAAAGAAAAAGATAACAAAATCTTCAATTCTTCAATTAAAAGTGAACTATCAAGAGAGAGAGAGAAAGGGTTTACCGATAATTGCAGCGTTCATCGCTATGTAGTTACAGAGTTACTTCTAAGAGAGAAACTCTGCAAAATGCTGCGTTTTGATGCGCAACCAGCAACGAGAGGAGGAGAAATTGAAAGAAATTCGTTTGAAAAAAATTGAAATACAAACTTGAGCGCCTTCACTCCTCTTCTCTCTCTCTCTCCTGAAGAAGTAAGGAATAAGCTCTCTCCCTCTCTCTCTCTTGTGTTAGTGTTGTCGTCTTCTGGAAAAGCCCAATACTACATGGAAAGGCCCACGCGGGGCTCTTTTATTCTCATCATACCCTATAATATCATCTTCACCGGCCCTAATCAGGGAAAAGGAACCTTGTATCTTCGTTCATTGTACATCGTGATGTCAGTTTTTATTAGGTACTATTTATAAATTTAATTCATGAGTGATTTTTATGTAATAAATGATAAGATATAAAAAAAGAGGTAACTAATCATAAAATAGAGAAAAATAATAAGCATACATGTCCTATAATATATAAAATTTGATTTTATTGTACAACGATCGCTTGAATGCTTGATTAGTAAACACTTGAGTGACAATTGTACATGATGATAAATTGAATTTTCTTATATTTGTTTTTCTTTCTTTCTTAATGTGAATCTTGCAATGGCACCATTGAAATATGTAATTCTAAATTCAGCATCTAAACGAGTGACGTTCATATGCTTTCTTTTCATACATCATAACATCAACATCTGAATCTGTTTGCATTCATAATCTACATCGCTTTAGCATCCAAAAATCTACAATCAACATCAGTAATTTGAAATTTGTAACCTACATCTGACTTTGAGATCTGCATTTGGTAAACCCTATAGGCATCAAAATCACTCATTAGACCCTAAACCCTATAGGCATCAAAATCAAAATTTCATTCTCTTTGTCATAATCCTAGTCATGATAAACACAATAATGCTAAACAATTTAAATCGAGATTGCCTACAATTTTTTTTTTTTGTCAAGGCTTACAATATTTATATATATTTAATATAATCATTATCAAATGGTTAATATAATTCATCTAAGAGTAATGTTAAAGAAACTAAATATATGTACCTAATACAGTCATAATCTTACCGTCAATATATGTATTTAATACATGTAAATATTGTAGCCGGGTTTTTTTCCTTTTAGTTCAAATCTTCTTCACTCAAAACAATCTGTGAATGCTTATTATTGGATGCCCATCTTGCAAATGTTTTGATTTATCTAGTTTTCAGTGAAATCGCAAAACCCTTGCCGACAGACTCCTCCCTCACCTGGCAGATAATAAAAATAAAAAAAAGGTGGCCAACGTCAGGCTGATGTCAAAAACACCATTCAGTGGGCTAGGCAATTCAAGCCTGGATTGTCTATCGGACTATCCCGGAGCCTAGTTAATTGGGACGGGCTAGAGTGGTTTTGGGGAGGGAGGATTAGGTTGCCCAATAGCCCAGATTTTTATTTTTTTCGTCAAACGATATATTTTGTTAGATTAGCCATCGACGGGTTTAAACTCACGCCGTTATACAAGTTGGTGTTCTCGTCTTCTTTACTATTCAGTAGATTTTCTTTGACTTGGGTTCTTGTTAGCCCTACAGTAATTTTGACATTATCAATTACTTGTAACAAGCAATTCATGCTGTCGACAATGGGATCAATCGACACGATACGGATCAGCCTCCAAGATATGTGAAAAACAAACTTATCTTCAAGGGTGGGCAGGTTGACTTTGGATTGGATAGATCCTGATCACTCGTCTGAAAAGTAGAACGAAGCCTTTCTACCAGCAACTGAACTGGCAGGCGGTGAGTTTTCAAGTCTACGTTATATTTAATTACGTGGATGTCATATTACAAGGTGAGTTTTCAAGTCTACGTTATACTTAATACCATGAAAATTCAACCTTGTTATCGTAATACCATGAAGCCTCTCTTCCCTCGGTCTCGGTGCTCGGTCGACAGCGGAGGCAGATTCAAGGGTTGAATCCGTCTTACTACATCTCTTCCTTCTCTGAAAACTCTAATCCGATCCGGAATTTTGGGAACAAAAACTGGAAACAAGAAAAATTGCGAACCTTGTTTCCGGTTTGATCCGTCCGAAAATTGCCCCTAGCCCAAACCAAGGCCTTTGGACCAGCAACACTGCACTAGCAGAATCCAACTCAAAGTGCCCTGCAGAACCAGTACAACAACAACAACAACAACAACAACAACAACAAAGTTTTTTCCACTAAGTAAGGTCGGTCATATGAATTCTAGAACGCCATTGCACTCGGCTCTGCAGAACCAGTAAACCAAAGAAATTTGTACACAAAATTTACTGGGCAAGAAAGAGGTTATCAACTAATAACAGTATCCTACATAATCCACACCTATTCTCCACTAATTCTTTCTCCCTTCACAAAAGAAAACAGAACCTAAACTGTCATATTCACGTCACAGATCTCCTAATCGCCTACCGGCTACAAAGAACTGAAAAAATTTAGAACTTTACAAATTGGACTGTTCATAGAAGGCAATTTCTCTATATACAGAGCATGCAGCACGAGATTGTAATCATCTTTACATCGGATAGCCAAAATCTTGGTACCCCGACAAATCCCCCTGATCAGGCAAATGACTCTGTTGGGTCAAATGTTGCAATGGAGACTGATGAACCGGAACTGCAGGTGGAGGAATCCAGTTGCGATCAGCAGGCACAGATACTGAGTTGCTCTCTACAGTGGTTATGTCGTGAATGCTTGATCTTTTCCTTTCCTTTTTCATTGAGGTTTGACGAAGGAAATACTTCTGGGCGTGGCTTGCTACTTGGGTTGGTGTTCTTGTCACAACCACATTCCTTGAAATGCTCCTCCAGTCGCCCTTACCAAACTTTTTTAGTCCAATTAGAAATAACCTGTTAAGAGTACACAAAGAAAATCAGGGTCCTGAACAGTATAATCGAGCTATCAGGTAGTAACGTAATTTGGTATTATTATTACTATTTCCTAACACAACCACACCATATTTAAATCTGACGTAGGTTCGTAAAAAACAGTACATGAATAAATTTCATGATAACAGAACCACGATTGTCAGTATGCCTGACCTATCAATGAACTACATAAAAATTTTAGAAAACTCGAACAAAAACCTATCGATTCAAGTATCAATTATGTAGTTATGCAATATTAGGTCGTACCCAGTGCACAAGGCTCCCGCTTTACACATGGTCTGGGAGAGGTAAATGTCGGCTAGCTTTACCTCAATTTATGTAGTTATGCAATATATTCTAGAAAAATAGGGTTAGACATGCAAGAGCTTGTATGAAATAAGAATTTCGATTACTTAAAGTCCCTAAATTAAGAAATTAACGGCCTTCGGCCTTCGGAAAACCACAACCCTCTTCAATGAAAATGGGATGTCCATGATATGTTTTTAGATACAAAACAGAAATTCCAAATTTAGCAATGCAACATCCAAACTCCTAAATCGAAAAAAGAAGGTGAAATTCCCGGTTCAGCTGGCAAGAAAGTTTTCATGACATCATCAAACACTTAATGGTGAACATAAATATAGAATCTAGCACCATTCCAACTAGCTCCAGTTGGTAGCAAAACAAAATGGAGGACAAGGTGATGAACCAACATTTTGAACATTAAAACATTAATTATTTGGAGCACTTAAAATAAATATACACATGTAGCTATAAAAAGTAAATTACAACCCATTGTTTCCAAACAAATACCAAAAGGACGGAAATTGGCTGGCTGAAACAATCAACTTACAAATTCCAATTGGCGAAATGTTCAGTATTTGATCAAATATGGATGGCATATTTGGCCAAATACCGAAAAAAAGTGATCATTTCAGCCAATTTCCCCGAAAACAAAAACAACGCAAATCACCTACATCATTTTCTTCGGTTGTTTTCTAGAATCAAATAACCAATATGTGTATGTATATATATATATATGACAATAATTATCTCAGTTTAGTTTAATTTCTCTCTCAATCAATTTCTTACCAGTTAAAAACAAAGTTTGAAAATTAAGGAAATACCAAAAAACGATATGGAGAGGGAAAGAAATTACTTGTGTTCTTCTTCAGTCCAAGGCGTTCCCTTCTTCCTCTCAGGCTCGCGGTTGGACCCAAAAGTGATCTGACTGGCCGTGTCCTCCCAGCCGACCATCGACTCATCAGCATAACTGGGCAAATTGACCCGGCCGGAATCGATTTCCAAGACATCGTGCACCAAGTCCTCGTAGTGCTCCAACACCTCCTTGGGAGTCTTGCCCGGCAACTCTTCGGCGATCCTCTCCCACCGATTGGGCAAGTCCTCGGAGAACCTGACCAGCGCCTGCTCAAACACCTTGTCCTCGAGCCGAGTCCACGGAGTCGACGCCGCCGACTGAACCACGCTCGACCAACACGGCGCCGTTTCTTGAAACATTTGCGGGTTTGGGTTGAGTTCCGTTTTGTCTTGGTTTCTTGGATATTTCGCGGAATTGGGTTTGGTGGGAGATTTGGATAGTTTGTGGTTTTATAGAGGACGGACCGACGGAGAGAGCTTTTTATTTTATTATTTTTTTAATAATAATTTTGGTGCTGCCAGCTCAGACTTCTGAATCAACACGTTTTTTCTATTATTTTGGTTTTTATTTTACTATTTGTTTCATGTCGTTTTATAAATCGAGTGACAAATGTACGCGCCTAATTTCTGCTTTTTTTACTTTTTCGAGTTTTTTTTTTACTTTTATTTTTTATTTTTGTTAGTACATCAATATTTTTAAACTAAAAAAAAATTCGATTAATTCACATAATAAACAGCATATTTATTGTAATTTCTTATCTGGTTAATTTTAAATTTAGTAAAAAAATACATAAAAATGGATTCTCTCTTCTCTTTCTGTCCCCATCTCTCTCACACGCACTCTTGTACGGGGACGATATGGAGATGGCCTCAGTGGTGTCGGTTTTGGTGAATTCTGGCGGTGGTGTAGGGCTGGGTGAGATGTGATGGTGGTGGTGTGGAGGTGTGTAGGGCCGTCCAGGTGCAAACGGAAGACTTGGACGAAGATGCAATTTGACCTTCCTAATTTGATACCTTAATATAATTGTGTTTTAATAAGCTGGTGCTAATGCTATTAGAAAACCATCTAATCCAATCTATCAACCATCTTCCACGACAATATGAATTTAAGG